AAACCACCGGAATGGGACAGAAGCAAAAGCCTTCGATTCTTATCTAGCTCAAGTCGATTGATTGGTTAGATGTGCTACAGGAAGGTGCCGGAGACAAGATAGTGGGTGGCACACGCTCCTAGATAGGTTTCAAAGTGTCCCGACATCTGGAACATCTTGACACAATTGTTTATTAGAGTCACTTATCTCCAGTTCTGAAATGGAAAAAAAAAAGTTTCTGAGATTTGGGGCTTGATACAACTTGATCTGGGTGTATCCAATGGTAGACAAAGTATGCCGCCCAAAGACCTGGAAACAATTTTTCCCCAGCAGGGAGCAGGTCACAGAACAATCCCATTCTTGTTTAGTGCCAACCCATGTGGGGTTAGCAACCTGCCAAGTTCTGATGGCTGGCAGGACAGCCCTTTTGGTCTTGAAGGTGTCCACCAAAGGAATACACCAAGAGCTTACCGTGTACATGGTAAAGGATCCCGTGCAGAGGACATGGCCCTGAATAACACAGATCCTGTCAGTTATTCAGTTACAGCTATGATAAAGGTCATGAAGGAGGAGTGCCACAGGGAGAGGTGTGGGCACCAGACGCTGCGGGTCAGAGAAGTCTGTCCTTCCGCAGGCAGGGGTGCTGGAGCTGATACGCAGGGTCACCTACATAGGAGCAAATCCTCAGTGGTGGCCAAAGGGCTGGGGGGGAGGAGAGAGGTTGGAAAACTGGCAGATGATGCAGTGAGTGAACTTGGGAAGACGGTCCCAGGTGCAGACAAGAGCAGGCACACGGGCTCAGAGGCATGGGGAGCTTGGGGGCACATCCTGGACCCTCAGAGACCAATGAATCTGGAAAAGGAACATGGAGGGCAGGTGGCCAGCAGGCTCTAGAGCAGGCTGGACCTTAGGGCCACGCACAGGAAACAGGAAGGCAGAAAACTTAGGAAGGAAGAGTGAGGCCACATTTACATCTCCAAGAGAAGATTCCTGGCACCAGGCAACGAATGAAGCAGAGGCAGGAGTCAGTGATGGTGGAGGCCAAGGCCAATCTGCTCCCCCATTTGGCCAGGTCTGGAGATACCTTCAACTCCCCAGGATAGGCAGATGCCACGGATGGGGCTGGACATTCTCTGATGTACAAACCACCTCTCTGAATCACCACCGTGAATGCACACCCCACCAGGAATCACCCAATCCAAGGTGTTAAAGGGCAGGTGAGGAGAAACCTTGGCTTAGACAGAGGGATCACTTGAATGAGCTGGAGAATAGCGAAGAGGCTCACGGCACATTAGGAGGTAAGATCCACAGCATGTAATGAAAGACGGGATAAGGGTATCCATGAGCAGGAGGTGTAAGGATCAGCCTCAAACGTCTCATAATCCCAAAGAAACTTTACCCAGGATATTCCCTTTTGTAGAAAGCCGAAGAAACTTGTGTGTTCTAAAGTGGATTTCCTCTTACGGTCAGGTGTGTTAGGATGGGAAACAGGCCGGAAGCAAAACCGTGCCGTCACCAGGTCTGCGGCGGCCTAGACTCTGACATGTTAGCATGTCTTTCTAGACCATGGCGACCTAGCAATTAACTGCTGGTGATGTGGGTTTTAAAACATCATCCTGGTTCTAAAATGATCAGGGAGGGGACTTCAGGCAATGATCAGAGGGCTGGGACGAAGTTCATGCCAAGGGCCTTGTAATGCACGTGCAAGGGCCCAATTTAGACCCCCAGCACTGCCAAGTAACTAACCCACTACATCAGTAAAACCATGGAGATACAGAGAAGAACAGCCCATGTTGCTCTACTCACTCAACAGCCCTTCCAAGGACCAGCATCCCCAGGGAGCTCATTAGAAAGGCAGAGCCTCAGGCCCCAGGCCCGCCCTACCAGGGATCAGAATCTCTAGGGATGGGACTCAGGTAGGTTTAGTGATTCCTGCCAGGCTAAGTTTGAGAAGCACTAACCTAACTCACATCAGGAACAGGAAACAGCGTCTGTGTGGGTTACAGCACTGCCGAACTCCAAGCACTTAGCAAGCATCCAAAAATTGAAATCTAAGATCACTTCAATCTAATCTAAGATCACCCAGAGCTAGCCAGATCACTTATGGAATGGGTTTTAGGCTCTGAGTGTTTCTTATCTATTTCAGCTTGTAACAGAGAAGCAAACATTAGGATCTGTTAACAACAAAGAGAGAAAAAGAGGGAGGGAGGGAGAAAAAAGAAATTTAAGTGCTTACATGAGAGGTTCCAGGCAATGTCAAAACTTTTGCCTTTAGGAGGTGAAGAAACAGTGCCCAGCAAGACACAGAGTGGGCCCGAGGAAATAAACCAGTCCTTGCCACTTTCAAGAGGGAAGACTTCTATGGCTGATGCAGGAGGAGGGGAAGCTCTGGTCAAGGGCCACTCAGGGTTAACTCCGGGACTAGAGGAACAAGCTTCCCTAAGACCTCAGCTGAGGTGGGCCACGGTGTCCCATCAGGGTCTGGGGCCAGGAAAACCGTCTAGGGCAGCTCTCCAAGCAGACCACTGATGGTCCCCATGGCTGGCACTGAGATCCATGACATGCCAAGCAGGTTTTCACTCCAGAACAAGGCCCTGCTGTGTGCTCAAAACCATCATCTTGTCCCCCAACTTAGTACCCTCGATTTCCTCTCCCAACCCAGCGGAGCCTCAAAAGCATCTACAGTTTTGATTCAAGTATCATATTTTTAATTCTGAGAGGGTTTGTCCAAACACTCCAGAAAGAAAACAGAAAGGCAAAAAGAAATAATAAACTATCTCAACAATGAACGAAGTATACGCTGTGTGGGAGTGAATGGCTTATTTATAAATAAGTGTCACTTTAAAATGACGCAGGAAGTCTACATGGCAACACAGACAGGAGAAACTCAGAGACTCCTTCGCCCTGGACCTGGCTCCTGAATGGAAACCAAGCTGTGCCCTCGGTCTGAGTGACTCACAGGCTCACACCAGTTCTTGATAGCCTGTGGGGTCCTGGGTGAGCCACGGAGCTGTAAATATTTGCCCTTCTCCTGAGCTAGCCAGCTGCTGAGGCTGCAGCTGACAGACAGGCGGGGGACAGGAAGGGGGAGGGGACTGGAAAATTTGCACGCCTGGCCTGGATGTGTAGAAGAGGCAGGAGGCAGGCTGGGGGAGGTCAAAGGGAGGCGAAGCAGACACGGGCCCTGGGGCCTCCTTGGACAAATCTGTCCCCCTCTCTACTGGGCCATCTGGAGGAGGCAGCCAGAGTGGCAGCCCATGCCCCTCCCCAGGAAAGCAAAAGCACCCAGCTGGTGAAAACATGGCTCAGAGGACATCTGACAATATTTAAAGGCATTTTTGACAGTTGCGACTGGGAAGAAAGGTCTATCGACTGGCATCGACTACCAGCCAGGAAAGCGGCTAAACGTCCAGTCCGGTCCCCAGTGCCTGGGACAGCCCCCCATGACAAAGTGCTCCAGCCCCCAGACTCTGAGTCTGAGAACTCGGACGAAGAAACTGAATCCAGCTCCTTCCCCTGAGTCACTGTTTGAGTTTGGACAAGTTACATAACCTCTCTGAGTCAGTTTCCTCATCCCGAAGGATTAAATGGCTAATGCACGTAAAGTGCTTCCCACAGTTGCTGGCACTTGACAAGGAGTGGTACTTGTGGCTCTATTGAGAGGCAACACAACACTGGTTAAGAGCTTCAGCTAAGAGAGTCAGACACATGGGGGTCTCAACACAGCCCTGGCTCCTAAGAGCTGCTGCCCAGGACAAGACCCACCCACCGACCTGAACCTCAGTGTCTTCTTTTACAAAATGGGAAGCACAACACCCACCTCATCCAGGAGGAACGACTTAACCGCAAGCACCCAGTCTGGAGCACAGCGGGCCCTCGCTCTGGCTGCTCTTACAAGCCCATCAGCCGGGGAGGTGGGCTGGGGAGAGGCTGAAAATAACTGCAGGTGGCAGGTGTTGCGCATTTACTCTGCCAGGCACGGGCCAGCCACGGGCCAGGCCTTCCCATGTGATCTCGCCCCACGGAGAACGCCCACCTTCCTCATTCACAGAAACTGAAACACCTGTGAAGGCCACTCAGCTGGCAAGCAAAAAGCCCAGAGTTTAAAAGGAGTCCCAGGTCCACAAGACCCACCCTTCTCGCTGGCTGGGGAGGGGCCCTGTGATTCTTCCTGAAATGCCCGGATGCATCCCTCAAAAGTACCTCTCCAGGAGCCGGCTTCCAACTCTGGAGAGGTCACCACTTCTCTGGAGACCAACGCGGAGGTGGTCGCAGAGCCCACAGGTGCCCAGAGGCCCCTCCCTGGCAACCATCTCAACCTACTCTGGGTTCCCTTTGTTTTTCTGTTTTGGTACCAGGGACTGAACCCAGGGACGATAAACCACTAAGTCACATCACCAGCCCATTTTTTAAATATTTTGGGCAGGGTCTGAGTTGCTTAGGGCCTCACTAAACTGCTGAGGCTGGCTTTGAACTTGGGATCCTCCTGACTCACCTTCCTAGGCCCTGGGAACACAGGCGTGCGCCACCGTGCCTGGCTCACTTTGTTTTTTTCTAGAATCCCGGTGGGATCAGGGCACAGTTTGCCCTGTGTATTATACTTCTTCTGTGGGTCACCGATGTAAGACCCATGACTCCCGACCTTAAGGGAGGCTAGGCGACCTCCCTGCCCAGCTGTGGTGAGCGGCAAAACTCTGGCTAGAGTCCATTCCCCACTCACGCCCTACACTTGGATGGGGGTTCCTTTAAACCTTTCCAGATCCTCTGCAGCTGTGGCTATACTTGGCCCTGTGCGACCCGCCAGCTTGCAGGGACCGTGGCCCTGGGCCTCTGAGCTTAGACAGGTAAGCGACTTGAACCCGCTGATAGACAGCTGTGGAGCACTAGAAGAAGAGTGAGGCAGGGATGCTTCTAGGCAGCTCCTGCATCCCGGTACTCCTGAGGAGGAGAGGGGCGGAGCCCCCGCTAACCCCGGGTCCGGCGAAGGGGAGGAAGGAGAGCGGTGGGCCGCGGACTCCTACCTTGCCGCCTGGCGGCGCGGCCACGCAGCGGCTGAGCGAGTCGAGGCGCGCGCTATACTCGGTGAACTTCTTCTGGTAGCGCAGCGCGGTCATCTGCAGCTCGAGCTGCGCGGCGGCCAGCTGCGCCACCAGCGACTTCTCCCGCTTGCCTGCGCGCAGCGCCTCCTTCTTGAGCGCCTTGTGCAGCGCGCCCAGACGGGCCTGCAGCGCGCTGTTGTGCGCCCGCAGCGCCCGGGCGCAGCAGTGGCCTCCCGCGCTCTGCTCGCCGTGGGTCAGGGGCAGCCCGCAGCCCTCCTGGCAGCGGCCCACCGGCCGCGCGTCGCACGCGTCGCGCATATGAGCCTCCACGTCCCGCCGCAGCAGCAGCTGGCCGCAGCCCGCGTGGCGACAGCGCGCGGGCGCAAAGTCGCAGCGCTCCAGATGCTCGGGCAGTGCCTGTAGCTTCACCACTCTGCCGCAGCCGCGCGCCGCGTGGGCGCACTTAATGTCCAACTTGAGGATGAGGCGCTTGAGCGGCAGGACGTGGTTGAGCTCCTTGGCCGACAGGCGGCCGCGGCAGCGCGCCGGACAGCTGCCCTCCTGCACCACCCAGGGCAGCACGCAGCCGGCGCAGAAGACGTGGCCGCACGGCGTGGTCAGAGGGTCCTCCAGGACTTTGTGACACAGCGCGCACTTCAGGTCCGGGTCCACGTCGCCATCGAAGCGGTCCAGCTCGAAACCCATGGTGGCGGCCGGGCCCGGGGTCGCCGCCGGGCGGCCGGCCGCCCCTCCCTCCCAGCGAGGCGGCCCAGACACGCCGGCCGCGCCGCTCGCTAGCTCTCCCCGGACTGAGCCTAATTGCTCCAGACTTCCTCGGAAAATGCCCGAGGAACAGGACTCCTCCGGCCGTATTTGCCAGAGCGAGAGCGCACGCACATCCCGCCTCCGCGGCCTACCGTGCGCCCCCTGCGACAGGAGTAGGCGGCGGGGGAGAGGACGCTGGGGACACCCTGAGGCTCTCGGGGCAGGGCTGATCCGCCCCGGGCGCCAGCCAGAACCCTCTCGGGGCGCGTCGCCGCCCTCTCTCAGGTTTCGCTCTAGGGGCCCAAACTCCAGCAGAGAACCTCTCGCTGAGTTTGGAGCAGAGGCGGCAACTTTCGCCCCAGCCACACTGCTCCTAGAGCCCCTTCCGGATCCGACCCCGGGCGTTCACACCCCTTCCCCTCTCCGCTGATTGCAGAGGGCGAAAACTACGGCGGGGCCGCTATCTCAGCACTTACGGTCTCCTTTATTTATTTATTTCATTCCAGGGAAAGTTGCAGCTCAAACTTCAGATCAACCGGAGGTTCTGAGAACCCCAGGGTTTTTAGCAAGCGGAGGCTTCCAGGACCCGGGGCGGATTTACAGGGCAACCTCGTGGGGACCAGTGCTGCTCTCCAGTTCCCTCGGGTGTGTGTGTGGGGGGGGGGGGGGCGTGCTTCCTGAGCCCACTCCCCACACCCCCGCGGAGCCCGCACTAGAGTGGCCAACGTTTTTTGGTCCCTCAAAAACCGTCATTGTGCTTGCTGTTCCAAGAGCATCAGCTCCCCTTGAAACGCCCCCCCCCCCCCCCCCCCCCCCAGTCCCCGTCCCCGTCCCCGTGACAAAACAAGTGACTCTAGCCTTACAAAGAGAACTGCGAAGTGCAGACGGGAAGGCCTTATCCCAACCCCAGCCCCATGATGGTCTGCATTTCTTCGGTTCTGTTTGGATTTTCGTTTTTTCCATTGTGTGCACTTTGTTGAGCTCCATCTTCTCATTGGGGAAACTCAGATTATGAGAAGGAAAAAGAAAAGAAAAAGAACAAGGGGCTGGGGATGTGGCTCAAGCAGTAGCGTGCTCGCCTGGCATGCGTGCGGCCCGGGTTCGATCCTCAGCACCACATACAAACAAAGATGTTGTGTCCGCCCAGAACTAAAAAATAAATATTAAAAAATTCTCTTTAAAAAAAGAAAAAAAAGAACAAGATGTTGTCCCTTCGTGGATGTTTCTCTGATTTTAATGTGGTTGCAGATTCTGACCCAGTGGGTCTGGGGCGGAGCCTGAGGACCCTGGAAGGAGCCCCCTTGGGATGCTGATGGTGCTTGCCCGTGCCGGTTTGTGGATTCTCACTAGATTGGGAAACCCTGATCATCTGGGCTTTTTCCTTCTACTAGGAGTTGGCTATTCAAGCAGTACTGACTGTGCTGGCTTCTGTGTCACTCTGGACTGTTGAAACAATACTTTCAGGATTCCAACCCCAGTGGAAAGTTTGTAACATCTTCTGTGCTTTGGGTGAATTTTTTTTTTTTTAACCTCCTAAGGCTGTAGACATTCCTAAGAAACAGGCAGTCAGCGTGGGTGAGGGCGAAATCGGGTTACGGAATCCTTGTTTGGAATCTGTTGCCAGATTCTCAGCAGCAAAGCTGCAAGTTGGGATCTCTCTGTTTAGCCGGGCTCTGGAGCCCTGGAATCCCAGCTTCCATTTTGCCTAATTGCTTTTACTTGTCTCTGTGCTTGCTAAAGACCCATGACCTTCACTATTGAACCGCTTCACTGGAGTGAAAGAATTGCGTTGATGTGCATGAGGATTACTTGTTTTGAACTAACCTTTGAAAAGTTGTCACTAGGTTTTCCAGTGCATGGTTAGATCTCAGGAGAGTGCTCTTTAATCCGAGTTGGTGGCATTTGTGGTCTGCTCCCGCTAGAGACTTTCTTTTAATTGCTTTAATCAACTAATGCATTTCTTTGAGAGGATTCCATGTGTGGGGGGGAATATTACTGGCCTTGGCTAAGATAAGCCTGTGCCAGAGAATCTTCCCTCCATCTGTCTATTTATCAAACTCCTCGCAGGTTCTCAGGTAATGGGTGAGGAGCAGACTCTCAACAAAGGTGTGTGGGCTCGTCAGTTTCACAGAGTGGGCTAGTGTCAACAGGGTGATAATCTTCAAACCAAACTGGTTTTGAGCAACAGAGAGAGCTCTGTAACACACCATGAATAGGAACCAGTGCTTACATGTGGGGTGCATACTCCAGAGCTGCCCCGATGCCCCTCTCAGGACCCCCAGATGAGAGACTGAGAGGTTGTTGATGACATCTACCGCGGAGGCCACCTAGCAGCCACAGCCTGTTGTCAATTGGCCTCTTTAGGCAAGAGGAGTCTTCTCAGCCACTCCTCATTAGTTATAGTATGAAATTCACAGAGGTCAGCAAAAACAAGACAAAAAAAAGAGAAAGAGTAAACTTCTAGAATGTCAAAGCTGGGATAGGGGTTGACTGTGCACATATCTATCACCAAACTTAATGCACAGGCAGGGGAACTGGGAGCCCAAACTGGACATTTCTCAATTTTGGCACTTAAGTCCAGTAATCCTTTGCTGTGCACATTTGTTCTGTACGCTGTAGGAGGTTTAGAAGCCTCTCTGGTCACTACCCACTGGGTGTAGTAGCAACCCCCATACATACTCCAACCCCCAGTGTGACATCCAGACACTGCAGTGTCTACTGGGGGCAAAAATTGTTCCCGACGGAGAACCACGGTTTCTAAGGCAACGTTTTGTTGTCTGGTAAAGGAAGTTTGCTTGCTGCAGAATCACCAGGTGAGCACCGACAGAAGGATGTAGCGTGGAAAGGTGGAGGCCTTGGGCGGGGATTGGCCTGGCCGGCCTCCTGCAGGAAGAGCTACCTTTTCTAGAGGCTTCCTCAGCCATCTCGGAAGCTCTGAAGTGTTTGAAGGAGGCTCAGTTCCTTGCAGACCGCTGCACTGGTCCCTCGCTGAATGAGCACCTCTGATCTCAGCCCTTCCTTTTATGATCTGATCTGCACTTTCTAATCAAAATTTTAGAGAGCCTGACCCTAATAGAAGCTCTGTATCTGTCTTCACCCCTAAGCCCTCTGATGATAAACCCTGTTCTCACTGCCCTTTCCGTGAGCATGCTCAACCAGGGGGTGATTATACTACCTATGAACTGTTGAGCTCACCCTCGGGGCTGAGCACTGTTCAGCTCTTGGCTTTTCATTCTCTCCCTAATCCCATCCTTTATCCCTCACATCCAGAGGTAGCTATGTTCTTAGCCCATTCTACAGAGAAAGAAACCGAGTTCACATGGGTGAGATAGGTTGCCTCAGTGGCAAGCAGAGATCTAGAGAATCCCAGAGTCCTCACTCAACCACGTGGAACAGTATGCTTCCTGCTCCAAAGGCCTATGTGGGAAGCCCTGCCTTACAGCCAAGCAGGTGGTCACCACACACTGTCATCTTTCCTTTTTGGCACTGGAGATAGAACCCAGGGACACTTAACCACTGAGCCACATCCCCAGCCCCCTCCCCTTTTTTTGTATTTTATTTAGAGACAGGGTCTCACTGATTGCTAAGCACCTCGCCATTGCTAAGTCTGACTTTGAACTTGTGATCCCCCTGCCTCAGCCTCCCGAGCTGCTGGGATTACAGGAGTGTGCGTCCGCACCCAGACACACCGCCATCTTTGTCTACCTGTATTCCCTGTGTCAGTCTCACTTGTCAAGTTCTCAACAATCTCTGTGTCAACTTCAGTTGCTGCTAAGTCTACCTAACTTGAGGAAGTCTACCTGATTAGATGAAACAAAAAAGCCAGGGATGTTTGGATTCTTTGGTGGCCTTTACCAGGCCTAACATTGATGCTTCATTAACTAAAATAGTGCTATACAATTAGAAGTCTTTTTAACAAATGGAAGAACCACCAGAGAGGAGTAAATTACAGCAGTCATCCACCGACTGGTGTGGGCCACTTCCATCAGGGGGTTTGGCCCTGAATCTAGCCCATGGTGGCCAAGCTGGGTGTTGGGGATATTCGTTTGGCCTTGGATTGGAGGATGGGGACAGGGGAAGGCAATGTCAATCCTGGAGACTTCTCAACATGGGTGAATCAGCCAAGACCACAACAGGGGTGATGCACAGGAGAACATAAAGAACTGGAAAATGCTTCTTCCACATTGTGCTTCTGTACCTTGGCAAGGCCTCCTTTCCTCCCCTTCCAGAGGAGACCAGCTCCCAGGGTCCCAAGCACACACCCAGTGTAACAATGATCACACCCAAAGGTCTTCATGTGTCACTATTTAGTAGCTTCCTGGGCTGGGAAGACAGCTAGGGGCTATCTTTTGTGCTGGGTGAACAAGATGTCCCAGCAAGCCCTCAATCCAGAGTAAATGGGCAAATGTCAATAAACACTATGAGATGATTATGAAATGCGAGTAGTTCCCTAATGCAATGCTACACAAAAGGTCACGGGGCTAGGAGCATGGGCATAACCTGTGTACACACACATGCACATTTTAACTTACACCACCAACACACACATACACACACACACACATTCATACAGGGGAAAAAATTAAGTTTACTCAACAGAACAGCACATCCAAATAATCATGGAATAACTAAGGTAGGAATGTCTCTGTCAAATGAGAAAACTAGAATCTGCATGCCATAATGGCTTCCAAGTCCCAAGAGCCTCAGACTTTCTTCCTGCTCTTCTAGTCTTTGAAAGGGCCTGGTCTCTATTCTCACTTCATGGACTGCCACAGAGCCAACCATTCCAGGTGGAGAAAAAAGGAAAGAAAGAAAGAAAGAAAGGCCCCTAATGAATTCCCCTAACTTTCTTTAACAAGCTTTCCTGGAAGCTCTCTTATATCTCAACAGCAAACCCTAAATACTCAGAAGAGAATCTATGAAATCTTCTATAAGGGTACATATTAATG